TTTTCTTTTCTTCACTTTTCTATAAAATATCAGAAATAAATCTATGATATTTGTATTTTATTAATTATGCAATTGCAGTTGTTTATTTATTATATTTAAATGTAAATCGTAATAGATGAATAACCCACCCCTATCGAACAATACGAATGCAACGTGAAGCATACTTCGCGTAACTTACAATTTTATATTTCGAATAAATAAATAAAAATATGTATACGAAAATATAAAAATTGCAAAACAACTCACCGCTTATCTCCTCTCCCAATCACCGTTATGTTTTGTTTCTTTTCTGTAATATCGATTAGTACCAGTTTACGATGAGAAATAAATGTCTCACTGATAATAAAATGTTTTTCATTGAAATACTTTTCACAGGAATTTTGAAATTATTTTCTGAAATAATTCATACAATCGAATGTATTGTAAGACACAGAAAAAAAAGAAAAAATAAATAATTAATTAATTAATATATAATTCATTTTTTTGTATAGTAGTGCAAATAAATAAAAAAATGAATTGTTACACGCACGTATCTATCTCTACACGTACAACTTATATACATAATACATATATACATTCGCGCACACACTCACGTTTCTTTTGATATTTTTTCGGGGATAACGGCTTAACGCCGCTCCACCAACGGCGATTTGCACGTCACAGGTGCATCGCGACGTCTGACGTTCCCGCCTCCGTCGGCGTCAACTTCCTGTCACCCTGACAACCGCGAATAACAAATCAGGAAACACTTGCGCACTAATATCAACTCAAACGTCTCCACCTAGCCCGCCAATTTTCATTTCGTTACCACCCACTCGTGCCATTATTTCTTTACATATCATTATATCATTATTTTATTAATAACATTTGTTCCTTGTTGTTATTATCATTATTTTTTATTTATATATATATAATCAAATTAAAAGAATCAAAAAAGATTCGTATTTCCCGCGCATATTCTTTTTACATTTGAAATTAATTTTTTACCGCCATATTAAAGAATTATTTTTATTATTTAATTTGTGAATCGATTTAATAAATTATAACAATTATTATTATTAATTAAATATAAATAATATATTATGTTTAAATAAATAAAATATATTTACCTACTGAGATAATTTTATGGTAAAACAGATTTGATGTTGCAGTTGATCAATTGACCGCAAAAGCGTTCACGATTATGGTGACTAGCAAACATTGAAACTCATGATACAGTGTGGAGTGATCATCTAAGGTTGATTAATCTTAGAATTAGTAACGAAAGGATTGAGAATTGTGAGATTATTTTTTCTTGGTGAAATAATAAAAAATTATTAAAGACAAAATGTCAGAAAGTACGAAAATTGAGGTGAAGCCATCTAAGGATGTTAAAAATGAGAAAGAAGATGAGAAAAGTGAATTGGTAAGTAAATTACACAAAAGATATAATGAACTTACTTCTAACTACAGTTAATATAACAAATTCAATTTTTCTATTTCCAGACCGAGGAGGATAAACTCTTACAAGAGGAATTAACTTATTTGGTAGAAGTATTGCAAGATCCTAATCAAAAGTTACATCAGTTTGCATTGGAATTACTACGTACACAGATACGTGCATCCACGACTTCTATGACAAGCGTACCAAAGCCTCTAAAATTTATGAGACCTCATTATGATACCATGAAAAAGATTTACGATGAGATGACCAACCCCGAATTGCAAGAACTGTGTTCGGATATTATCTCTGTATTGGCAATGACCATGGGAGAGGGTAGAGAATGCTTACAATATAGATTAACTGGATCTGCTTTGCCTATCGGTGAATGGGGACACGAATATGTTAGACACTTGTCGGGTGAATTAGCAGGAGAATGGGATGAACTCTGCGGTGCTGATGCTGTATCTATGAGTAAAAGATTAATTGCATTGGTACATGAAATTGTACCATACAATATGGCACACAATGCAGAAACTGAAGCTTGCGATTTGCTGATGGAAATTGAAAGGCTTGATATATTGGAACAATATGTTGATGAGAGTGCATATCAAAGAGTTTGCCTTTATCTTACCAGTTGCGTACCTTATGTTGCTGATGCGGAAAGTGGTGTTCTACTCCAAACTGCTGCGACGTTGTATGGGAAATTTGGTCAATTTCCTCAAGCAATTCGACTTGCAATGCAGCTTAATGATCTTTCTTTCATTGAAGAAATTTTCACTAAATGTACCGATCTGTAAGTATAAAAATAAGTATAGTAAGTGGTCAGGAATTTGTAGTATTTTTTCCTAATACGTATTTTACTTATCTTTTTAGATCAGTCCAAAGACAGTTGGCATTTATGTTGGGTCGTCAGCAAATTTTCTTAGATCTTAATGAATCTACCGTTGAATACGACGATTTGGTTGAAATAATGTCCAATTCCCAATTAAACAATCACTTCCTTAACTTGGCACGTGAATTGGATATAACGGAACCTAAAACACCAGAGGACGTATATAAATCGCATTTGGAAAATTGTCGGCCACCTTTCGGTGGTGGACAAGTAGATTCGGCAAGACAAAATCTAGCTGCTAGCTTTGTTAATGGTTTCGTTAATGCCGCATTTGGACAAGACAAATTATTAATCGAAGATGGTAATAAATGGCTATACAAAAATAAAGAGCATGGAATGCTCAGTGCTACTGCATCTTTGGGTTTGATTTTATTATGGGATGTCGATGGTGGATTAACGCCTATCGACAAATACCTTTACTCTTCGGAAGATTATATTAAATCAGGAGCATTACTAGCCTGTGGTATTGTAAACTGTGGTGTGAGAAACGAATGCGATCCAGCTTTGGCTCTTCTTTCTGATTATGTATTACACAGTAGTAATACGATGAGAATTGGTGCAATTGTTGGTCTGGGATTAGCATATGCTGGTTCCAACAGAGAAACAGTATTATGTTTACTTACACCAGTTCTCAGTGATCCAAAATCAAGTTGGGAAGTCATTGGTGTAGCTGGTCTTGCTTTAGGAATGGTTGCAGTTGGATCTTGTAATGCTTATGTTACAACTACAATAATGCATACATTAATGGAAAAGTCAGAAAGTGATCTTAAAGATACATATGCACGCTTCTTACCTCTTGGATTAGGATTATGTTTCTTAGGGAAACAAGAAGCTGCTGAGGCAATAATCGCAGCATTAGAAGTTATACCAGAACCATTTAGATCGATGTCTACTACACTGGTAGAAGTATGTGCTTATGCAGGAACGGGGAATGTTTTGAAAATACAACATCTCTTACATATATGTTCCGAACATTATGAGCCAGCTAATGAGAAAGAGGATAAGAGCGATCGCAAGGATAAAGATAAAAAGGAAGAAAAGAAAGAAGAGAAAGAAAAAGATTTAAGTTCCCGACAAGCAATTGCTGTTCTTGGAATTGCATTAATTGCAATGGGCGAAGAAATAGGAGCAGAAATGGCATACAGAACATTTGGCCATTTATTGAGATATTGCGAGCCAGTAATTAGAAGATCCGTACCACTCGCTTTAGGACTCATATCCGTTTCTAATCCTAAATTAAACATATTAGATACCTTATCTAAATTTTCACACGATAGTGACCCAGAGGTAGCTCACAATGCAATATTTGCGATGGGTTTAGTCGGAGCTGGAACAAATAATGCAAGATTAGCAGCTATGTTAAGACAATTAGCGTTGTTCCATTCTAAAGATCCTAATAATTTATTCATGGTCCGCATATCGCAAGGTTTAACACATCTTGGAAAAGGAACATTAACATTATCTCCATATCATAGTGATAGACAATTATTAAGTCCTGTTGCATTAGCTGGTCTCCTTGCTACATTGGTTGGCTTTCTTGATGTCAAAAACAGTAAGTAATTTAATTACTTATTCAAATTATAGCATAAATTAATATTTTGATATATCTATATATATTTATTATAATTATTTATATTTATTTATTGCAGTTATTCTTGGAAGATCGCATTACCTTTTGTATACATTAGCAGCTGCGATGCAGCCAAGAATGCTGGTTACATTTGATGAAGTTCTTAATCCTTTAGCTGTACCAGTAAGAGTAGGTCTTGCCGTCGATGTTGTCGGTCAAGCGGGTAAACCTAAAACAATAACTGGTTTCCAAACACATACGACTCCTGTGTTATTAGCATACGGCGAAAGAGCTGAACTTGCTACTGAAGAATATATACCCTTAACTCCTATTATGGAAGGTTTTGTTATATTAAGAAAAAATCCAGATTTTGTACCCTAGATTTATTACATTTCATTCTTCTAATGTATCTCTTATTTCATTATTTTCTAAAACAATATATATTAATATCAATAAGTAATAAAGAAGTTTTTATCATTTATAAATCCTTTTTAGGTTGTAGAATCTGTAAAACTAGAAGATGTAATTAGGAATACCGATATGTATTTCTTTTAAAATTGCAAAAAAAATTTTCCAAATATTTAAAAATTTTTTCATGGTTATGTAAGATGTAAAATAAATTTAAACTTTCTAATCATCATGTGTACAAACAATTCCTAAACGAAAAATCCGTAACACAAAAAAGTTGGCATAGAACTGCAACAGCAGAAAAAAATGAATAATTGCTCACTAATTGCACAATAAAAATCCATATAATTGCGCACTTTATTAATTAATTATTTAATTAATTATTAATAATTGAAAAATCGAAAATGATGACGATGAACTCCAGTCGTGCGTCGAATCTGACTCACACACTTTTTAAATTATCAGCCGTATATAAAGAAGGTTCGTATGTTTTACAGAAAGATTCCTTATTGATTAATTGTTTTTTCATTTTTGTATATAGAATTTAATTACACATTCACTTTGTGTAAACTGCTTGTTATTAAAAGTTCCAAAATATATTGAAATTAAAAAAAGAATATTTATTGATAAAACCCGCCTTAAAAATACTAGCAATTGTTAAAATATAAATCTATTTTATCGGCAAAAAGTTAACATGCAAGATAGCGCTACAGTACCAAAAACAAAGAAAGTTTATCTGTATATAACCCTCGTGTATACTAACAGTTTTTTGTTTTATTAATAATTCCAATTATAATAAAATAAAATTTTCCTATACAACTTTATTAGAAACAAAAGTATTAAAATAAAATAATGAAAGTATTCTCTGGCGCATAGTAGCTGGTTTTATTTTGTGTCACATAACTTATATTCTTATTTGTAGTTGTCATATTATTTATAACAATATGAGTAATAAAAAAGAAAAGGAAGAGGAGAAGCCAATTGTTGCTAAAACAGCTGTGGATTTACAAAGATTAAAATTAATGAAGTTAATGAAAAATCCAGTAAGTATTTTATTAATAATATAATATTAATAATATATATTTATAGAATATTTTATATTATTTATGATTTATAATCATTTCTTTTTTTCTTTTTATTGATAGGACAAACCTATTGTATTACCAGAACGACCAAAACCAAAAAATACACCAACTGTACCAGAATTTGTAAGAAATGTAATGGGTAGTAGTGCTGGTGCAGGCAGCGGAGAGTTTCATGTCTACAGACATTTGCGCCGTAAGGAGTATGCAAGACAAAAATTTATTCAAGAGAAAGGTCATAAGGTTGGTGTATTTCATTGATAATAATAATTATTATTATTATTATTAATTAGATTCATATTCGTTCTGCTAACTTCTTTACTAAATATAAAAGTTCAATTTTGTATTATTCTTGAAATGAATTGAAATCATTTTTCATTGAAAAATTGCAGGAACTTTTGGACGCACAGTACCATGAGAAGTTGGAACAAAATAAAAAACTAGCAGAGGAAGCAACAGCAAAAAAGCGTGCTAAGAGATTGAAAAGGAAACAAAAGATGAAAGGGAAGAAAAAGATGAAAATGAATAATACTGAAATCAAAAGTAAGGAAAATAGCAATACAGAGGACAGCGATTCGGCAGATGAAAATAATGACAATGAAACACGGTCTGATTTTAGTTGCGATAGAGAATCTACAAATAACATAACTTGTACAGAAATGAAACAGTTAAAAGATATCGAAGTTAAAGGAAAAGAAAATAATAAAGATGAGTCTAATGTTATATGTAAGGATATTATGAGCGATACTATTTCTATAGAAATTAAACAAGATCAAGAAAATGATACGACTAATATGTTGAATGAATCTATGAAGAAAGAAATAAATGAAGATGAATAAAAGAAAAAGAAAAGCATGCTTAAAATATAGTATCTACTGATAATAGGTACTTATTTTCTATTATGTATATTAATATATATAAAAGATGCATTTTATATAACAAATTTAGTTTGATTATAGATTATGATTGCTAAATGGAATGATCGTTTAAAAAGAAGATTTATTATTAAATATAAATGCATTGATACTTTTTTACATTATACTTAAATTATCTAGATTATCGTAATGACTTGTTCTATCGAATAAATTGGCTAAAGTACTGGCTATTTGTTGCTCTTGTAATGATTTGGCAGTTTTAACACACTTTTCTAAATGCGCTTTAGCTTCTATTAAATTACCAACTTTTTCTGGCAATATGTTTTCCTGAAATTATGTTAAAAAAAGAAAAAGAAAAGAAGATTGTATATATTGTACATTGTAAAATGTATGTTAATTATTAGGGGGACCAGAAAGTAATGTATTTTATGTTTAAGTTGTCTATTAAGAAGTATGTGGTTAATGTTAATTAACTCATTGTGTACTTCAAAGTCGTGTTTGAGTTTAATGTAAAAAAAATTACTTTCCGATCCCCCTAATATTATCACGTGTAAAATAAATAAATATCACATTTTTTTAAATCATGTACAATTATTTCTATCTGTAAACATAATAAAAATACTCAACGTTACCTGAAACTTTTTAATGTAGTTGGAAATACTTTCGATATGATCACCAATTTCTTCCCAAACGTTTTGTAATTCGGTTACCTTTGTATGAGCAGCTAAATAACTTAGTGTAAGGCACAACTAAAAATAGAAATAATGTATTTTCAACATTAGAGAAATTAGATATTAATTTAGTTTTATATAAAAATTATACTGTAACAAACCTGTTGAACGAGTGTGTCACGATGAGAATATTCAACATAACTTGGCACGTGTTGACAATTTTCAAAAGCTAAAACTATACTTTTCCATAATGTTGGAGTGTATTTACCGTAAGAGTTACACGAATATAAAGCCCATGCAGCATTTGTGCGAACTTTAAAATTTGGGCTATGACATATTAAATTGCACAGTGCTGGAAATATTTGTTCCTGTAAAAATATATTTTTATATTAAATAAATTATCAATATATAGTGGGTGTTTCCTATGTAATATGAGCCTCGCATATTACGAAACAACCTGTATATTACATACATACCTGCCAAGACGATGGTAGAATATAATCTGGATTGCGGGATATAACTAATCCTAATGCTCTGCAAGCGTTCCATCTGACCTAAAAAATTATTCTCATAATATACTTTAAAATTGATGAAGAAACATTTATTGAAATTTGTTAAAATAAGAATTGTGTACTTAATAAAATGAAACTATTCTATATACGTGTATTTACTTTCATATCATTTCCTAATACAGCACAATTAATTAAAGCGTCCAATCCCGAAGACGTATCTTTTAATATGTTTCTATCCGGACAGATGTACAAAATACTTCCTAAAGCTCTGACGGCATTGCATTTAACTTTATCATTATCTTTAGTAGCTGTAATGCTCGTTTGATAAATTTTTGGTAATAAAACGTCGAATAAAATTGGCTCCATATCTACGTCATACCTACAAATATAATAATCGTTAAATTAAATAAAACATAATAATAAAAATAATTAAGTCAATGAGACTAACCGTCTTCTACAAATACAATCGCATAAATTAGCTAATGCCCATGTTGCTTTAATTCGTACGCCAAGACTTTGATCATTTAAACCCAGGCAAGCTACATCAGCTAAATCCATTAAAAATCCTGTGTCTTCTTCAAAAGGAGGAAGTCTTATTAACATTCCTAGTGCTCTTAAACCTGCTGCTCTAACAACACTTTCTTCATCGTGAATACTTCCTAATAATAATGTTATAAGTAATATTTTGTGTGGACGCTGAAATAATTATAATAATGTTAAATAAAAATTGAGATAACATTTGGAAATAAATAGATATTGTATACCGTTAACTGAGTGACCATATTAGACCCAATAGCACCTAAACAGTCGCAGGCAGCTTCTCTTAATATAGTTTGTTCATGTTGAACTAATAACGTCATAGGTTCGAATACAATATTCCAAAATAATAAAGAATTATGACTTGAATCTGTATTTGCTAAAAAACCTGCAATTAACTCAAGCGCTCGACAAGAATGTAATATTATTTGTATTTCTGAATCTTCTAATACAGAAATTAAAGTATTGGTAATTCTCTCCAAATAAGGAAATACAAGATCGCTGGTATTAAATGCTAATGCACCAACTAGTTTCAAAGATTGAAGTTGAACAGGAGTACTCGTATTCTAAAAAATAATATACATAATAATTATTTATCTAATATATATATCTATATATATATAATTGCATATAATATATTAAATATTTTTTTGTATAATACCTTGTTTGATACATTATTCAAGCATACTTGAAGTAAAGAACAAATGCCTTTTTCTTTAGAATGTTTATCTTGATTAGTACTTTCAATTTTACTATCATTTAAATCTTCAATATCTATTTCTTCTTCTTGATCCGTTAGATCGTTAATTGAACTTGCATTTGTTTCTGGTTCAGGATTGACGTTAGATTGTTTAGATAAAATTTCTAATATTTCTGGAGTAATAGGATCGTTCCAAACCAGCGCTTCAAAAACTAAAAATGTTGCTACCTTTACAGTAGGATCTAGAATTTGATATTAATTAGTAATTAAATATATATATATAAATAGATATATATAGATATATATTACGCATACCTTTATGTTGTATGTGTGATCTACAATTTCGAATTAATTTAGTTGCAAGTCCGGGTTTTAATTTAGCATATGGCGTACCTTGAATAAGCACTGCAATGCACTTTAATAAATGTGTCAAAACAGCTGCATTCTTTTCGGTATTTAAAACTAATGATAAAGTAAAATGTAATTCTTTGACCATTAGATAAACTGTACCGAAGAAAGTTATAAACGAAGTTGGCTGAACATCTTCAGCATGTATTAAGAAAGGTCTAGCACCGATTAATAATTCAGTAAGCACGCTTAAAACATTTTGTCTTACTTTTGTATTAGGTTCCTTTAAAATACTCCTAGTTAATACTCTGGCATCATTTCGCGAACCGGTCGCAACTATTTGTGGCCAGTAGCCAAAAATTTCACGAGCTTGCGTGTTTTCAATAAGAGCTTGCAATAAGCGTACAGTTTCAAGTCTGATTTTAGATTCCACGAAAACAGAATCATTTGTTTCGCTATCGGATATTTCAGATTCGCTGGAGTATTTATAAATCTTTTTACTTTCTGGAAAAATACGTTTATCTTCTGGTGTAGATTTTTTAGACATTTGCTTCTTAGATTTAGATTTGGCTGCTTTCTGATTCTTGCATTTTGGTACGACATGTGGACGTTCTGGAAGATTCATTGCTGCTGGATGGAGAAGTTGCGGTTGTATAGGTAAATAATCTTTAATTCCATAAAACAGGAAAGCCTGTACTACTCCTAAAATTTGGCCAATAAGATCTGGTGTGATCTTTATCAATTTATCTATCATTGCGATACGTAAAATTCTCAAACATGAACATAAAATCTGAAAATAAAACATTTCTAAATAACAATTCGTATCTTTAAAACGTGTAACTTCAAACATTCGTTTACAATATTATAATTACTTTATTATAATATGGTATATTAATATGATTTGAACATGGTAACAACGAAACCATATTCAAAACAACATCCTTAATGATACATATGTATTCTTCCGATACACAGTAATAACTTTTCTTATTTATCAAAATTCCTTCCAAACAACATATCGCTTGCACATTTAAATCCGTCCACTCTTCATTTTGTGGTACTAAATACTTGTTCAACAAACCCTTATCTCCGAGTAAGGATTGGAGATACTGAAAAAAAAAAAAGAAAATAAGAATGTTAACATAACATATTTACAAAGAAAGAAATCATTTTTACAACAAATCAAAAATACTAACTTGATTGATATTATCAAAATTACCATTAACTAAGACGCTTTTTAAAGCGTGAAGTATAGAAACCCAAGCAAACGGTTTCGAAAACTTTAATGCATTCAAGATCCATCTCGTGCAAGCGGCTAAAGTTCTTCCTTGGAGTACAAGATCATTTAGTATTACATTAGCTAGGAATAGACAAGTATCTTTAACAAGAAGTGTTTCTGTTGGTGGCACGATAGCACAAAGTTGATTTATCAACAATAAAACAGCCTAAAACAGTAACAACAATGATAATAAACAACAAATATAATCTGATATAAAATAATATGATAAATGAATGCATTAGGTATAATAATAATTAAACTTACATCATTGTTAGTTATATTAATGTGTCTGTAATCAATATCATTAAGATCATTAAGACATGAATTAATTGATTGTTTATTACTAAGTTTAGTGTGTGTTAATAATAATATTCGTTCAATCAAATTAACAAATTTGATATTCGCATTTTCAATAGAACTATTAACATTCACTGACGAAGTCATGTTTGCATGACTATTATTTTAATTATTTACACAGTCATATTTTATAGGTTAATGCATAACAGATGTATAAATATAGAATTTTTAATAATAATCAACACGAAACTACACGTAATTACAATAAACTGGCGCTGTTAATCGAACGTCATCCTATCGATTTCCCCCTCCATTATACTGAAGGATCCATTTTTAAAGTACCGTAAATACATTATAACCTATATTATCACTCCATAAAAATTCACGCATACAATACATTTAAAAAGTTAAGTTTTTTTTATAAATAAATTAAGATTAAAGAATAAGCTTTCAAAATCGATAAGATTATCAAACGATCCATACGTAAGTGTCATTTGATGGTAAATAAGGTATTGTATACTATCATTCAATATTAATTAAATACATTTTCTGGAAGCTTATTTTTTTGAATAAATAAATCGAAGTTTAAATAAATAATCTTTAAAAGTCGATAATATTATCGTGCGATTATTACAATCGATAGGTTAGCAAACGATAATTTTTTATACATAGATGCCATCTAGGAGTAATATCGGTTACTATATAAAAAATATTGGATATTCTAGGAGAAGCATCTCCCCTTTTTGATGCAATTGGATGTTGAGTTGCATTAATCGCAAGAATTGACAACATGAAGATGGCGGACGGACCTACAATCTTGAGAAGAAATAGACCCGGAACTAAAGCTAAAGTAAATATTATTATTAATAACTATAAATGTAATACCCTTTAAATTTGATACAAATGTTGCTTTGACGTTTCTCTGATTGTGACGAATTGATTTTTATTTCATGTACCGGCATCATCTAGCGCATATTTCAATGAATATTTATAAACAAATATAACAAATAATACTTATTTAATATAATTAATCTAACATTAGATAGTATTCTTTTCAAATTTAAAACTTCAACATTGTTTGACGTTTCTCATCAAGCTATCAATGGTTGTTTTTGAATTTTTTTTCTGTTGATTGTTTAAATATTTAACAGGATTTTAGTATGTGGCCGGATGAAGTGTTCGAAGAAATGGATAGTACATTGGCCGTACAACAATATATACAACAAACGATCAGGAGAGAACCGTCAAATATAGAATTGATACTTAATATGCCAGATGCTCAAGATGAAGGAGTTTGGAAGTATGAACACTTGAGACAATTTTGTATGGAACTTAATGGATTGGCAGTTAGATTACAAGAAGAATGTCATCCTGAGACATGTAATCAAATGACTGCGACTGAACAATGGATATTTTTATGCGCTGCTCATAAAACTCCTAAAGAATGTCCTGCTATCGATTATACCAGACATACATTAGACGGTGCAGCTTGTTTGTTAAACAGTAATAAATATTTTCCCAGCAGGTATATATATATATACAGTTATATATATATACAGTTATATATATATGTCGTTGTGTTTATAAATATTAATTAAGTTTATCGATTTTTTTGTTTTACAATATCAATATATAATTATTATATTATTTCAGAGTAAGCATCAAAGAATCTTCAGTGGCGAAACTTGGATCTGTATGTCGCAGAGTATATAGAATATTCTCTCATGCATATTTCCATCACAGAACGATATTCGATGAATTTGAAAATAAAACATTTCTTTGTCGAAGGTTTACTGCATTTGTAACTAAATACAATCTGATGTCTAAAGATAATTTGATAGTACCTATTATGGAAGAAGATGGTGCAACTGAAAGTGATGCATAAAATTTTTACTGTTTAATTAATTGAAAAATAGTATTACACAAGAAGAAACAAAAGAATTATCAGATTTAGGAAGATCTGGTGGGAATCTCTTGTTCCATAATCAGAATACATTTTCCCAAGAAATCATTTGTTAATGCGAAAGTGTATTCTTATAAAAGGTTGGTAAAGTTTTTCTCTTAGAAAATGTTTTATACCTAATGGGTATAATATCACGTCGAAAGAGAAAATGAGTAGAAAAATGATATTGATGACTTTTTGAAGAAGGAAGAAAGATAAAAAAAGTAAAAAAAAACAATATGCAAGCAATTTTTTCATGCTTCATAATTAGCTATTAAAAAATATATAATTAAGTTAATGTTTACCTATATGTAAGACTTATAAATCTTTGATAATATATTAAAAGACCGATAACACATTTCATTTGGTATGAATGAAGTACTGTTTAAAATTCTGAAACATTAAAACTTGCTCTCATTGTACATTTTCAATATTTCTATAATGTTTTATATAGTAGTATAACGATGGAAGAAAGAAAATTTAATATTTCTTATACATGTGTTTGTATTAAATAATGTATCTGTATTATAAATATCGATATTCTCTAACAGCTTTAAGATAAAAGCAATCGAGTAAGGAATGTTTACTTTTTCTTTTGTTTTTCTGATAGCATTTATATATCTAATTAATTACAATATGTTAAATTATATAACCGTAATAAATGCAATAATGAAAATATATTAGAATCTTATACCTTTTTATTATTCTCTTTCTTCGGTTTTTCTTTTTTTTTGATTCAATGACGTCAATGAATTTTTATTTGACCTCTTCTTTCCAAATTTTAACTCCATAGTAGAAGAGGTTTCTGAATCAATATTAATTGCATTACTATTATTATCGTCCTCAGAAGTGTTACTCTTATCTAGATCCAAATCTATAAAATCTGGTTCCATTGAATTAGCATTCCCTTGAAGATTGAATTGTCCAGAATCACCCGGTGCTTGATATCTTAACAAACATATTTTACGTGAATTTAAAAATGAAAAAACGATATTGATTCCCTTACACTATAACAACGTATAAAACTCGTGATATGCTTGAAGGCCTAAACATGATAAACACAAATTCTACTCATAGCAAATCTTATGAGCCAAACATAAGAGCATAAAATATAGTAATGAATATAATTCTGCTCATTAAGTCATAGTGCAAGAGGATAATTTCTAAAGAAATCTTACCCAAGTTCTGTAGTATCTTGAGCTTCTTTCGATAACAAAATATGAATTTCTGGTACCGATTGATTATCTCCTTCCTTAGTTTTTGCTCTAAAACAAATAAATCATATAATATCTTTATAAACAAAATAATAGGTTACATTTTAAACTTTATGTTTATGATTTATATACTTACACAACGTAACGTAATTTATTTATTTGATATAATCCTGGATTCTTAATTTTAAAAATTTCACTACAAGAAATAACTTTATAGACAGCTTTTCCAATTCCACACCAGATAATATTTTTAAACTTCGGAAATTCCTCTAGTGCATACCTTAAAACATTTTCTATCTTTGTACCACTGTTAACCTACAAAAATGGACACGTTTTAATAAACTATATTTGAATCGATGTAAACAAATTTTGGATTAATCGATCACATATGAAGTAACAGATAATAAATAAAAGACGAATACTTACACGCATTAAAATATATTTTGCAGGTAATTTGGTGAATGGTAAATCTTTATTTTCAACAGAATCTTCATCCTTTTTTATTTTATAGGGTACCTCTGCACTTCTTTTCTTAGCTCTCCCCATTTGTAAGCAAATCTAATTGAATGAAATAAATAATCCTTTTTACAAGAGATATTTTTATATTTTTACAGACGAATATCGATTTTAATCACGCACTGTCGTAATTTATATTCCTCGTATGAACCTTACTACGCGTGTTGCATTAATAAATGAATTAAACATTTTCTAATGAAAATTTCAAGTCAACACGAGCGACTTTGTATAGATCAATTGTTTGAGAATCTGTTTGGAAAATAGAAGACATGAGGGGCTTGAATTCCGGTTAGAGTTTTGAGTTTCCGGTTTAATTATCTGAAAAAGAAAAAAGAAAAGAGAAATAAATATTTCACGAATAGTACATATATAAATATATATATATATATATATATATATATCTAATATTGAAAAATTGATTGAAAAATATTCCAAGTATTTAGGACGATGAAGAAGTCGAAGTCTTGAAATACGTGCCATCTCATTTACCTCTATCTCTTTTTCTTTTTATATTACTGGGTCAGGGGTTTACAGTATTGCTTCTTCGAGACGAACTAATAACAAAAAATCATTAATGGGAGAATTTGGAATGGTTTTCTATAATAATGAAAATATTTCTATAATAATTATCACTTTAAAATCAAGCAAAAACGCGTATTTGTAAAGTTACGTTAGAGAATACGATATCGAAATGTTTTCTCGTGTAAAAAATCGATTTTTATCGATCTATGAATATCGATATTTTTTGATAGATTTACAATCGATATTATTTGAATTAATACAATGATCTATTTGAATGAATTAAATACAAATTTGTGTTTATTTAAAAACAAATAAAATAAATAAAATATACAAAGTATTTTCACCCATTCATTTTATTAACCATACCACCATTGTTTAATTTTAGTAATTTATAACGTGGCTAGATATTATAGACTATATTATTTTTTAAATAAAAGTAAGCTTGACCGAAATGAGAGAGAGAAATAATGGTGAAAGTCTTCCCTATCAATATTTTCCAATCAGCATTCTATCCCATGATAGGATTTTGATGGCAGTTAGGTAGAAGGATATAAGATTAGAGGGGGTGAAGGAAAGGTTCATTGAGAGGGTTGTAGATGTTGGGGGTTGAACGCGTAGGTGTATACCAATATGTTCTTGGTATGCGGCATAGTCGGCATAGCGTCGTGACTTCGACGGCATATTGCATTATTAAACACCCCCCTAGGCGCCTCTTGCCTGCATTCCATTATTATGAAAGGGTTTTTATTTCTAAAGGGTGACATTTCGAGCCTAGATAAAAAAAAAGGAAAAGTATAAGAAGAACCCACAAAAAATATAAGGGGAACGTACTTTGTACTATTTGAACTATTAATCCTTCCTTCTTTTCTTTTCTTTTCTAAAAAAAGAAATACTTAATAAGCTACAAAATGCTAATAATACAGTAGAAATTGTTTTTTTTGTTCATACGTTTATACAATTGTGTTTCTGTAGTTAGATTCTAACTAATTTACATGTTAATTACAAAAACGTAACTCGATCATTGTAATTTTTTATTGAAAATAGAGAAAACGTGGGTCGTATAAGATAGATCAACAAGAGTTTTAATTGCTTTCCTTCTGCCCTCTCCCCTTAACACTTTACAACACCCGTTCACCCACCCCAATTACACCCAATACTATTATTATTATTAGATTTCTATTAGGAATACCAGAAGATGTCTTCTGGTGATGACACCTTTTTAAACATGTCTTTACCACCTTCTCTTTTCTTCCATTCATCTAAATGTACTTTGGAAGATGTACGTTGCAAGCAATTTATTCGAAGTGGTTTCCTTTTTCTTCGTCTTCGTCTTCGCCGTCTTCTTCTTCGAGTATCGCAACGATTTTCTTATATACTTGAAGAAGAAGAAGAAGAAGAAGAAGAAGAAGAAGAAAAAGGGAAGAAAAATTATTTTTTTCTATTCGATTTCCAATAATTATTTGCTATTAAAATTAATATAATATAGAAAATTATATTTCAAAAACACATCTCTCTATTAGTCTTGGTATTAATATTATAATTAGTTACCAAAAAACAATGTTATTATTATTAATAATTAATATTACTTCAAACAATTGTTTGTCATCCTTCATAATAATTAATAATACCTCATAAATATTCGTACTAGCATATAACTTTCATATCTTCATTAATTAATCCTATAAACAATTATCGAAGATACAAATTTTACGGAATAACAATTAGATTTTTCCACTTCTACATATCGTCGAGAATAATAATCAATCTTATTGATAAAAACAAAAAAACAAAAATTAAAATAACAAAGTAATTAAAAATAATTCAAACTATTTTTCGAAACAACCACGCGTCTGCCGATAATTAAGCAAACGGAAATGATATCGAATTACCCTAAATCAGAAATCTTTGATAATAGGTAGAAACGAACGATGAAGTTGAATCGAAATAAAATCATCCCTTGCGATTGCGCATGACTCTTAGGGGTGAATAACGAAATTATCGCACCCCCTTGCGCTTATATATACGACCAAGATGATCGGCGAAAGTTTGTATTGTTCAATCGTTCCTCGTTTCACCATAAATTCTTATATTTCTCCTCTTTCTCTTCTTCTGCACCAATTTATCTATTTATCTATCAATTAACAAAGTTTTGTGTTATCTTCTTTCATGCAACAAGTAGGACCATATCGATCTATCTAGAAAAAGAAAAAAATTGTGAATTAAACTCAAAGTGATCTATATTAATCACGCGTGTATTTGTTGTGTATGTGGTATTGTAACATTTATATGTGTGATCATCTGTGCGTTTAAATAATTATTATTATCTGTTAGAAAAATATTTTTTTTAATCGATTCGTAGATTTTTCGTTTATTTTTTCTAAGTAAGAAGTTTATTTTTTTTATTTCGAAAAAATGGATATCGAAGAATTTCGAATTCGTGGGAAAGAAATGGTCGAATATATATGCGATTGCATGAATAATATTCATAAAAGAAGAGTAACACCAGATATTGGTCCTGGATACTTGAGACCGTTGTTACCTTCAGAAGCACCTCAACAACCTGAAGCGTGGGAAGATATTATGAAGGATGTTGAATCTAAAATTATGCCTGGAGTGAGTTAAATATATCTCATTAATTATTTTCATAAACAAATACTAAAAAAAGTTATGTAAAAATAGAAAACGTGATTTGCGTAAATTCATGTGTTGGATGTAAATTAATTTAAAAAACAAATTCTAGTTAAAAAAATTTGATTAAAATAGATACAAGGATTTATGTGAATCGCGTAAATCATGTATATGATGTAAATTACATTTTAAAAAAGAATTCTTGTGTAAAAAAAAAAAACAATTAGATACAAAATTATAGATAAAAATAATTGTGTGTTTATGTGTACGTTATAGATCACACACTGGCAACATCCAAGATTTCACGCATACTTCCCAGCAGGAAATTCTTTTCCATCAATTCTTGGTGACATGTTATCAGATGCGATTGGATGTATCGGCTTTTCTTGGGTCAGTTATTATTAATCAATCGATCATTAAGATTTTTAATTTAAAAAAAATTCTAAATTAATTTTGATTACTACATTGATTTAAATAGGGAGAGAGAAAGAGAGAGAGAGAGAAAAAAAATGAATTTTCATTTAATAATCTATATAGCTGAAGGGTAGAAATGATTGATCGATCTTAGTTGTCAGAAGAAGGAAATTATTATTTGCTTTTTATATATATAGTATATTTTATGATTTGATATGTCAGATATTACTTGATGAATGATTTTTTATAAATTCCCTCTCTCTCTTTTATTTATATAATAATATATTATTTTATTTTAGGCTTCTAGTCCAGCTTGCACGGAGTTAGAAACAATAGTTTGTGATTGGTTCGGTAATTATTCATTTACATTTAATATTATCGCACGATAAATTTCAAATATAATAATTTTATATTAAAATTGAAGGTAAGGCCATTGGTTTGCCAAAAGATTTCCTATATTTTAGCGAAGGCAGTAAAGGTGGAGGTGTCATACAGGTAGAACAATCTTTTTTATAAAAGTATTTCAACCTAATTAATAAATAAAAGAAAAATATTTATAAATTATATGTGTGAAATTTTAAAGGGTTCTGCTTCGGAATGCATTTTGGTATGCATGTTAGCTGCAAGAGCTCAAGCTATTGCTAGATTAAAAGAATCGTCGGGTCATGCACATTTAGATGAGACTGTATTATTGGGAAAATTAATGGCCTATTGCAGTAGAGAAAGTCATAGTTCTGTTGAAAAAGATGCTATGATTTCGTTTGTTAAATTAAGAATCCTAGAACCCGATGAAAAGAGCGTACTACGTGGTGAAACATTAAGACAGGTATATATATAACATAACAATTAATAGATTATAATCTATTATTTACCAGAAATAATTAAACTTCCGTTTGTACTCTTTAAAATAATATTCACCATAAAATATTCCAGGCTATCGAAGCTGATCTCGCAGAAGGTTTGGTTCCCTTTTTTGTTTCTACAACTCTTGGCACTACTGCTTGTTGTTCCTTTGACAATTTAAAAGAAATTGGACCAATCTGCAAAAAATATCCTGGAGTAAATAATTAGTTATATTTATGTTTTTATCTTCATTCGCATTAATATATTCAAAATTTTGAATAATAAATAATATTCATTTACAGGTTTGGTTACACGTAGATGCAGCATATGCAGGGAATGCTTTCATTTGTCCAGAATTAAAATACTTAATGGCTGGAATCGAATATGCAGATTCATTTAACACCAATACAAATAAATTCTTATTAACCAACTTTGATTGTTCTTGTCTTTGGGTAAAAGACAGATTCAAATTAACAAGCGCTCTAGTTGTTGATCCGCTTTATCTTCAGCATACACATGCTGATACTGCAATAGATTACAGGTCTCGATCAAATTTCATAATAATCTTTCAAATTGAATTATTTATTTTCATTACTCTAATAATTTTTAAATAAATTTATTTTCAGGCATTGGAGTATACCATTAAGTAGACGATTTCGTTCATTAAAACTATGGTTTGTTATGAGAAACTATGGTATATCAGGATTACAAGCATATGTTCGCAATCATTGTCAACTCGCAAAGAGATTCGAAGCCTTGGTGAGGAAGGACTCAAGATTTGAGATATGCAATGACGTTGTGGTGAGAAATATATTTCTCATTCTTAACATATATTTCTTAAACTAAAAGAAATTGATCTCTAAGTTAGTTTTTATATATTTTGTAACAGTTAGGTCTAGTATGTTTCCGTGCGAAGGGTTCTGACAAACTTAATCAAAAACTTCTGAGTAGTATTAACGATTCAGGAAAGATACACATGGTACCAGCACGTGTTAATCAACGTTATACAATTCGCTTTGCTCTTGCTGCACCAAATGCATCTACTGATGACATTGGTAAGTTAAAAACTCAAGATTCTTGACGAACAAACAAATACGAAGTCTTTGCTCTAAACTATTTCTAAGATAAACATTAAAAACAAAACAAATAAATTATTTATTATCACAGATATAGCTTGGTCCATTATAACAGACTACTTGGCGGAATTGTTAGAATCTAAGGTACAAAATTAAAATGAAATAACTGATTATTTAATTACATCGTCTTGATCTTGAAATCATGTCAATCAAATCTTGTAGGATGTAATGGATGAGTTGGCTGATATTCGTGAGAAGAAACGTAAAGCTACGTTAGAACAAAGACGATCCTTTTTCGTTCGTATGGTGTCTGATCCTGCTATACAACCTGGGTTTACTAAAACGCCAAATAGAACCGGGGCGAAGCTTGATACTCAAGCAACGATTGGTGGTATTGGAACTAACTCCCACACTGGAACGTAAATATTATATAATTTATCATTTAAATAAATATCTTTTGAACATTTTTTTTTTATAAGCTGATATATATATAATATTATTTGAATACAATTTAGACGTTCATGGATATCTTGGCCACTGGCATATTTGAAGCATGCAAGAGATAGTACTGATACAAGCGAGTTATCATTAAGGTATAAAACAAATGATAATAATAAATGTTAATTAATTCTAATTAACGTTTCTCTCTCATTCCATTAAGATTTCGACATTTGGATACAATGGTAAGATTGAAAACAAGTGGTGCTGGAAGTAGACGTGGTAGTAGCAACGGATGTAGTCCAGAACCATCACCTACAGCTTCACCGTCTCGTGGAAGATCACCTAATGGCAGAACGTAATGATTATAAGTATAATGATTAGAAAATCTTGTAAAAACAATTTCTCTTTTAAGTATTCAAGATATAAATAATGACATAGTTTGAAGACGAACAATGATTCAATTGTTGTTAAATTTATCTGTTCATTTTAATATGAATACTGCCTATAAAACAAATGTAAAGAATTGTTTGCCAATGGATTAATTAAACAATTTAATTCCGATATCTACGATTGGTTCCTTCAATTATTATATTTTCCTTTCCTTATAAAATTAAATAACATTGTTGATTTATTATCGAGAAATGAATTTTCATAGTTTATTCTCTGTCTCCTACATTGACAATAAAACCCGTTCGATCGGTTTCTGCATATAAACCTATTTAGGGAAGAAAAATTAATAAAATAATAATAAAAAAACGAACAGAAAACTGTAGAATATTTTCAGATCTAAAAGAATGATTTCATTTGTACAGTTCCTGCTAGTTCGTTGGAAATCCAATTGAAAAAAACGTCGAATGCAAGGAGACCATGCGTGAAGGTGATGTTGAGAAAATGGAATCTACCTTGTATCTGTGTTTATATGTTACAAAGATTGAGCGGTGACCTGTCACCGTTTCTACAGGGTGCTGTAAATGTAGGTGAAGAGTAAATATCTATTAATAAACAACGGAAAGCGCGTTAAGGGTGGGGGGTTGAATTTACTCCCCGTGCAACATCGAAAGACTATGTGCTCGTTTATTCAAGCACCGACCCCATCACGTTGCCATAAGCCATTGATACTCGCCACATACACATATAAAAGTGTATATGTATATCTGAAAAAAGATATACTATGAAATAAATACAAATGAATATCTCTGAAATAAAAAATATATGAAGCAAATGTGAAAAATAAAATATAAATATATTTCTTTAATATAGAATAAAATATTTAAAAATCAATGAAATATAAAAGTATTTTAAATATATATATATATTACATTTTATTTCATATATGTTTTATTTAATTTTTTTTTATATATCAAAAATTTAATGAACAAGAAATTATATAACGTGTATGTACAAAAGCTATTAAAAAAGCCATGAATAATAAAAATGAGTTAGTTCGAAGGTAAATACCATATTTCGAAGAAATGATAATACTAATCATCTAGTTATTCTTATCATAGGTATTTTAATATTTTTAATACGTAATTTTTAAAAGGACGAATAATACCGTAACATTATTTATGACTTTGTATGCAGTTTTCGATAAAATAGAAAAAAAAAACAAGAGATAATAAATGAATAAAATTTTCATTAAAAATTATCAATAAAAATGATCTATAATGTATTCTTCGATTGAATTCAAATAATTAAACGCCAAAATTTCTTTAAGAATCGAACAATTATACCAGAAATTATTTTTACTCGTCCTTCTAATAAATTCATTAAATTGCAAACAATTATAAATAAAATTGATTTCGATTATCCTTAAAGAATTCGAGGAATCTGAAATAAAAATACCATTGAGACATATTTCCGTAAGAAAAAATTCACAAAAATTGTACTTAATTTCGTTGTTCCGGTGTAATTGTTTTTCCCCCATACTTATATAAACGTTCATAGTATATTTGTCATATAATTCTTTATAATATGTTTAATTACAGGAATTATTCGATTGAGATTGATATAAGGATGATTTATTATTCCGTATAGTACGATACGCGTATATGTTCCCTTCAAATATTACACCTGAACTTAAACAATGTTTTTTCTCTGTAAGTGATTATTCGCCACTGTAAATAAAATCTTTTGGATAAATGGAAAAAAGAGAGAAAAATATAGTGAGATTTTCTTTAAACATATCGTTAAAGTCTCGTTATCCTTATCAAAAACTTGCAAAGAAATAAAAAGGAGAATTCCCACCATAAAAATTAATCTTATGTTTCCTGCGACGTAATGGACAAAACCCGCAAAACGGTGACGCAAATGAATAAAAAATGTAATTTTCTTAAATCTATATCGTAAGCCAAAGTGACCAACAACATGACGAAGAGAAGAAGGGATGTGCAAAAGTGATAGTGTCAATAAAAGTGACCGGCGCTTTGGCTGATGCTACAGTTTCTCATCGAGTTTGACGCAAGTCACGTTAAATATTAGAACGAGATCGCGCGGACTTTTATTTTCTATAAGTTCTTCGCTAAAGAGTTAGTGGCTTTTTATTCATACAAATATTATTATATTTTTCAATATCACGTATCATTTGATACATATTTTATCTTCTTTTTACAATTTTTGCTCCTTCTAACGTTGTATGTATGTAAAACACGCGAGTGAATACTTTAAAAAAAAAAAAAAAATACAAAATTAACTTACGAAATATATTAATAATATTTTTATTAAAATTTAAAAGAAAAAGTATTCTTCTCTGTATAATAAGATTAATATTAGTGTAAATTTCTAATGTAATATTAAGAAAATTGTGAGGAAGCTATTAAGAACAAAAAGAAAATGCAATTTAACGAGCAATGTGTTAATATTCGTTTTTTGTACTTAAAAGAAAAATTTGTCGGTACTAAGTAACGATTAGTATAAAATTTAGATCGTTAACAATTTTTTAAAAATAATATAAAAGAAAATATGTGAACGAAATAAAAAAAGAAATAATAATGAATAGATCGATTGCTTAACTTTCGGAATTATAACGAGTAACGATACATTACAAGTCCAACGATTGATATGAATATAAAAAAAATAATAAACGTTTGTTAAACAATATTTCTATTTCTGGAATCAAATAAAAAAAAGCCTGATTCTTTTTTACGTAATTGCTGATAGAAAATATTAAATAAGACACGTTTCTTGAAATCGTGCCTAATCAAAAGCATTTATACTTTCTTTAAACATACATACAAGCATATGCATATATACACAAGAAAATAAAATATAAAATAAAATAATATAATATAAAAAAATATATTCTAGAGAGAGTAAATTGGCTTATCATGAACATCGACGAGTTTCAAGTACGTGGAAAGGAGATGGTCGAGTATATATCCGAGTATTTTCGTACCTTGGAAGGTAGAAGAGTCACTGCAAATGTTGATCCAGGATATTTGCGACCCCTTTTGCCAAACGAGGCACCAGCTAAACCCGAATCATGGGATGCCATTATGAAAGACGTCGAAGGGAAAATAATGCCTGGTGTAAGTATCGATTTTATCTGATAAATTTGATCGATCGATTACCCCTTCCCCGTTCATTCTAATTATAATTTTCTTTCTTTTCTTTTTTATATAACACAACATATAAGAACGCAAGTAAGTGTGCGTGCGTGTGTGGAAAAATACGTACGTATGTTAGAAACTTTGACAAAAGTATGCTCTTGTCTAAAATAATGTTACATCCACTTTAACGAATGTTTTTTTATGTTCATTCAAGTGATCCAAACTGCGTTTCAAAAATACAAACACACACATGCACTCACGTATACCTTCTATAGTTCGTTCAAGTATTATAATATGTAGGAAAAAAAAGAAAGAAAGAATAAAATAAAATAGAAAAATAACACCCGCTAATACATGTGTATGTATATATATATCTGAGTATATACACACATATGTGTACATATATATATAATATATATAAGAAAAAAAACAAGATTAAAAGTCTATGTAACGCACGATTGCTCACGATGATGGTCGAGACGACGTGAAAATCGATTTTAAAAAATTACTTGGAACTTACATATAATTAGAACATTAACTATATAACTTAAAGTTGATGATATACAAAAATAAAAATATATTAATATTTAATAATAATAATTATAAAATATATAAATATATTTTTTTCGTATATTTACAGATCACGCACTGGCAACATCCAAGATTTCACGCATATTTTCCATCAGGCAATTCCTTCCCGTCTATCTTAGCCGGCATGTTATCAGATGGAATAGGTTGCATCGGTTTTTCGTGGGCATCCAGTCCCGCTTGTACAGAATTGGAAACTATTGTTCTCGATTGGTATGCTAAAGCTATTGACCTACCAAGAGAATTTTTATCAGAAGAGAAGACATCTAAAGGTGGCGGAGTTATTCAAGGTTCAGCATCTGAGTGCATTTTAGTGACAATGCTAGCTGCTCGAACTCATGCTATAAAATTACTGAAAGAACAGGAACCGGACCTAGAAGATTCAGCTTTCTTGCCAAGATTGGTTGCTTATTGCTCGACAGAAGCTCATTCTTGTGTGGAGAAAGCAGCAATGATAAGTTTAGTCAAATTAAGAGTTCTCCAGCCAGATGACAAGGCTTCTCTTCGTGGTAAAAGACTGGAAACAGCAATTAAGGAAGACGTAGCTAATGGTTTGGTACCATTCTTTGTATCCACTACATTGGGTACAACTGGATCGTGTTCTTTTGATAATCTCGTTGAAATTGGACCAGTTTGTAAGCTTTATTCTAGTATTTGGTTACACGTGGATGGTGCTTATGCTGGTAACTCATTTATTTGTCCAGAGATGAGACCTTTCATGGCTGGAATCGAACATGCTGATTCCTTTAATACAAATCCTAATAAATGGTTATTAGTTAACTTTGATTGTTCGTGTTTATGGGTTAAGAATAGAGTAAAATTGACATCTGCTTTGGTTGTGGATCCTCTTTACCTTCAACACGCTAGATCAGGTGAATCTATTGATTATCGTCATTGGGGTATACCGCTGAGCAGAAGATTCAGAGCTTTGAAACTTTGGTTTGTCATGAGAACTTATGGTATAACTGGGCTACAAAAATATATAAGAAATCATATTAGATTAGCAAGAAGATTCGAAGCTCTCATGAAAAAAGACAGAAGATTTGAAATAATGAACGATGTACGCGTCGGTCTTGTATGTTTTCGATTGAAAGAATCAGATGAGATCAATCAAGAACTCTTGGCGAATATCAATGCATCTGGAAGATTACATATGATTCCTGCTAGGGTAATGGGTAAGTATATATTGAGATTTTGTGTTGTAAAAGAGAATGCAATGGAAGAAGATATTGACTATGCCATTGAAGTTATCGAAGAGCATGCAACAGAAGTCTTATTGGCGCACTATCAAGGTACCGAAGATGAATTTAGGGCTAAAGGTCCTAAGAGTCCTGCTGCATTGGATAAGAAACTTGTAAGAAAGTTCAGCTTCACCAGAAGTGTTACTAGAGATGTCTACAAAAGATCAAAATCAAAGTCGAGTCTTCACGATGGTGCAACACCCATCATGGTTGTAGATGATCAAGCACAAGAAGTTGATAGCATTGAAGAAAATGTCTTCTGCAACAGTAGGTAGACCGCAACTGAGCTCACGGTACCTAAGAAAAGAAATCAACTGTTCTCCTTGCCGTGAGCTTCTAATCATTTTCTTGAGTATGGTACATTGGAAATATAGAATTTATAAAGTGTGTCCTAGAATTTCAACGATTAAGATTAAGATTAAGATTAGACTGATACGTTTTTGATCAACATCTAATAGAGCATTGAAAAATGTAAGCATATGAGTGTTCGAATATTATCAATCTTGATATATAAGAAATTATTCAAACTTGATATCATTTATGCAAACATAAGCAGAAAGGTAGAAAAAAACAATAAATCATTTAATGCGATAATATTCTAACACTTATAACTATATAAAATATGCATACACTGATAATCGATCTGCTTGTATTATTATTGTACATTATCGTAGTTTGTATGTACGAACTTGGTTTTAATTTACTTACATAAAACAAGTAGAATCTATATTTGAGGATAATGGTGCCTAAAAAACAAAGTTACGAATTTATTCTTTGTTTTAGTACTTGGAACTTTTCAAATGCACCGTATATATATTTAAAACTGTAAAACTTTTATGTAATAGTTAAGAATCATATCAATTTATCCAAGTTAGATACTATGCAATTATGTATACGTGTAAAAATCGAATAATGATGTGTATAAACAGGCAACTAACGACTGCCATTGTATGCAAGAATCGTAATAATTTTCTATATGCAAAGTAGTATATATATATATATACAAAATTGACTTTAATTAACAAATTTTATATAAATGGTAAAAAATATATGTACAAGGTGTCCTGTAACTGGTGATACAAGCAAGCAGGAGGTAATTTTACATTAAAAGCTAAGTAGAGAACATAAAATAAAACTCTTTCATACAAGACTTTGTTTTTGAGAAAAATAAGTTGGAGAATTTGTCGAGTACACGTGTACTACATTTTCAAGTTAGTCTTTTATATAGAAATACCTTCTTTTGCTTGTACCATAAGTGACAAGGGACACTCTGTATATTGAATATAGAAAATTGTAGAAATATGTTAGTCGACGGTATGAATGTAAATTATCTATTAAGTAGTCGAACATATATTTATACGTATGTTGCAAAAAAAGCGATAATTCATTATTTTCAATATGTTCATTGATATTTAAATAATTTATTATGCCGATTACTAATCTAAAATAACAAGAGTAATAACAAAGACGAAAAAATTTCTAGTTAATAAATATGCATATTTTATATTACTCTGTTAAATTACTAATTTATTATTAAATATAAGATTAAAAAATTAAAATAAAAGTATTATTTGCAACGAGATTTAAAGATGTCCTGAATTTTTTATTTCTATGATTATGAATTAAGAATAAATAATAAATAATACCTGCTGTATTATAATTGAAATAAAGTAGCTCACATAAATATCTCTTTGCACGATTATAATTTACAAATCATACAGTAAATATGAATATTGTATGTAAAGAAAATAAAAATAAAAACATTTTTCATTACGTAATATTAATCATTCTATTAATTACAATCTAATCCTATACTGTACGTCATAATTGGCAAGAAAAATAATTACGTTTTTAAAATAAATAATAAAACTCATAATGTAAAATCTAAATTAGCTGTAATATTAAAGATTACTTAAATGATTATCTTTTTAACTAACCATTTATAATTAACAATTTGTTGAGATTGGATATTACGGAATAGCCATAGGCAGCATGTGCAATATAGTTTATTAATATTAAAGATGATAATAAAGATACAGATTTAAATTAATAATACAATTTGTATCAATTGTATTAAAATGTATTTTCTATTACGTATCTTTTTTCTTTTTAATCGATAATATTAAATCTATTATAAAAGAATAACAGTCCTTATAAATAATAGAAAAAGCTTACTTTACATTTGACCGCATTGCGATATTGTTACAGGTATCTTCGGTTTGTTATTTGGCCCGGTAGGAACGTTTTCTACTTTTCTCATGACCAATAAACCATCAATTACTCTTCCAAAAACTACATGCTTCCCATCTAGAAAATTACACTTAGCACATGTAATAAAAAATTGACAACCATTGGTATCCTTTCCGCTATTCGCCATGGAAAGTAATCCAGGTGAGTCATGTTTCAAGGTAAAGTTTTCATCGGGGAAAGTTCCTCCACCATAGATGCTGATTACTCCTGTACCATCACCATTTACAAAATCTCCTCCTTGTATCATAAAGTCTTTGATCACTCTATGAAATATAGCGCCTTTGAATCCTAATGGTACCCCGTCCTTTCTATACTCTCCGGTACAAAATTGTCGAAAGTTTTCTGAAGTCTTTGGACATACATCTTCGAAAAGCTCAAATATCATACGACCAATTTCATTCGTACCCACTGATACATCAAAAAATACAACTGGATTATTTGGATTGCGCAGCTGAGCTTGGATCTGATTCCAAGTAGGCATATTTCTTTCTCGATTAAGTACACTGTAAATACAATTAATTTTCATAAACGTTTAGAAATCTTACACACATTTGCAATTATATTAATAATAATGTAAATAAATCTGTTGATATTAATATATATACATAATCAAATGTTTTACCTCATCAATGAATATCACCTCAAGTTCTAGCCTCAAAATTTGATGCGCCTTTTATCACGCCGTATAAATTTTTCGAGTTAAACAAAAATATTTTGTCAATAATCCTGTAAAATAAAGTATTTTAATCACACTTTAATACGTTTAATTAATTATTGTATCGTAAATAAATTCTATGTTATGATGGAAATAATAACGTGTTCATATAGTAGCCGACAAGTCATCGAATTTTTCGAAATACACACGTATACTTACATAAATGTAAAACTAACATCACATAATAACTTCGAAAAAGGATATATTTTATTTAAAAGTAAAAATTAAGAATAATTAACATATATCGTAGCACTATAAGAATTATTAAATAAAGTTTATAACAAATTTAATAAAATTAAAAGCTGTACGTGGCCATTTTGTTTTATTTCTATCTGATAAGTGTCACGTGACCTGAATGCAACTCAATTCACGCGCGTAGCGCTAAATTTGAATTTAATTTTTTAATAATATAAATTTTTTCCAAGTATGTGATATAACAAATGTGATATTAAAACAATTGTTTAATTATTATCTAAAATAAAAGGCAATTTTATTTTTGTCTTTGTCATGCTGTACATTATAAATACCTTTAATAAGTTTTTATTTACACTCATATTATTTTTACTAATGGTAAGTTTTATATTGTAAAAACTGTACTATGGTACCTTTAATATATACATGTTATTTGGAATAATTCCATTATAGTTGTCTTTTTTGTGTATAGAAATATTTATATACATATATATACATATATGTATTTAAATGTAAGATCAAAGAGACTTTTATACAAATTATTTAAAACAGTGTACTTTTTTAAAATTCATTAAAAAAAAGAATGTAGTGGCTACTACTATTTGGTATTATATTATTTATAATAAATCTCAATTTAATATAAATATAATTAAAAAAAATCCAATGTTTTATAAGTTTCTTCTTTTGTGAAATAAAAGTATTTGAAAATTACATATGAGTTTTAACGTGTTCCATTAATATGTTTTTATCAGTAAAATCTTCCCCACATATACCACAAACTAATTCTTCTCCATCATCGCTATCTTGTTGATAATTAACAATTTCTATAACTGTTCCTTGAGAAACTCCTTCGTGTAATAACGATTCCTGTCTATTGCAATTATGACTTTTTAATGTCTGATCTTGTCTAGATATATCATGCGTAGCCATATCCATTGGTAGATTAGTATTACCCATCTGCGCAATTTGACTAGAATAATTTTCGTGATCTTCAGGATTATTAGTTATCGTCAAAATAGGAAGTGATTCATTCGGCTTTGATAATAAGTGTAGGGCATTACTTTGTTTGGAGGATTGTATTAAATGCATTGTATCAACTTCATCATTTCTATTCGTAGTTATAGTATGAAGAGCATCATTATCTTGTAAAATATGTGCAGTGTTATTTTGTTTTTCCATAGTAATTAAATAAGAATCAGTAGGTTCTTGATCATTTTGTGTAATATGAACATTTTCATTTTGTTTGTTGTCTAATATTAATCTTACATTATCATGTTTAAGTTCAGATATCGCAATTAAATTTTCACTATGCCTTTCCGCAGTAACTACAAGATAAGTATTATTTTGTTTATTATTTACAATTTGTTGACAATCTGATTTATCCATTGCTTCCGTAATAGACAACAAAGCTTTATTTTGTTCTAATCTTGAAATTTCATGATCATCTATATTTTGTTTCTCTTGTGTACCTTCTCCTAAAGATGCTTTAGATTTTTTCCTCGTAGGTCGTGATTTAGGAGCATTATTATTTGTTTTTGCTTTAGCTTCAGCTATCATTTGATCAGAGTGTTTAACAATATGTGCACACAATTCATCGCGATCTTGATTCAATGCACCGCACAAAGGACATGGATAAGGCGGTCCTGTAACTTCTGTTTCATTTTTTCCTGCAGCATGAACCCATCTAACATGTTCACGAAGGACTACTTTCTGATTAAAAGCTCTTGAACATAAAGGACATACATGTGGCCTTTCTCCTGTGTGAATTCGTTCGTGTTTTCTTAATGTACCGCCATCTCTAAATGCTTTCCAACAAAATTTACAACCATATGGTCTTTCACCAGTATGAGTACGATTATGAATTAAATATCCTTGACGAGAGGAGAAAGTTTTTGAACAGGTATTGCAATGGAAATATGCTGGACTTCCTGCATGAGTTCTACCATGCTCCCAAAGACCTTGACGCGATACAAAACTTTTTCCACATTCTGTACAAGTGAATGGCGAGTCACCAGGATGAGCAGATAATCTATGCTTATCTAATTGATTTTGTTTTTCAAACTGCGTTCCGCAAACTTCGCAACAATGAGTTTTTTTCCTATGTATCCATTGATGTCTAAACATTTTCTGCTTGGTTGTAAATTTCTTTCCACATTCCGAGCAAGCATGTTTCCCCCATTTGCTATTTGATACACCCTGATCTATATTATTTTGCATAATTTTTTTGGTGCAAGTAGTTTGATGAGTTGCCAAATGACTTGCATCTTGAAATTGTTTATCGCAATATTCACATTCAATAGGCATCCAGTTTTTAGATGCATGAACTTTCTCATGAGATGTCAATGCCATTGCTTTTGAAAAACTAATACCGCAATGACTACACGTGTGTTGTTTGTTAACATCTGTTCCCATATCTACATAATTTCTTCTACTTTCATTGTTATATGTAAGTGCCTCAACTTTGATCATACCGTCCGAATTGTTGAATGCATTGAGAGGTAAACTATATTGCTGATTAATTTGATTATTTATATTATTTGGCTGAGTATATTCGAATTGTGTTACTTCACCATTAGGTAATACATTAAACTCGTGCAATGTATCTATTTTTTCATCATGATTGGAAATTGTACCAACAGTGGATTGTTCGTTTTGAAAAGTAAATGAAGGAACAGTCCAATGAACTTGACAGGTATTATAATTTTGAACAATTTGAACGGTAGAAGATGGAACAGAGACAGTTTGTGATTCAGATGTATTATTTTCCGACCACTTTCTAACTGTCTCCACTGATTGTTGTACATTATTACCTCTCGATTGCATTATAGCACGGCCAGCTACATAAGTATGTATTTTCATATGATTAGATAAGCTGGAAGGTCTTTGAAAATCAGCACCACAAATAGTACATTTATGCGGTCTTTCAATTTGATGAACTTGTAACATATGTGATTGAAGATTGCTTTTGGAACGAAACAAATTACCACATGTTCTACATGCATGAGGTCTATCTACTTGATGACAAACCATATGATTATTTAAATCCATTTTTCTTTCAAATGTTTCTCCGCAAGTTGTACATGATAACTTACTGACATTACACGTAGGCTGATGTTTAGCAAATTCACTTTGCATAAACAGATTGGCGCAATTAGGACAAGTGACTTTCTTATTTTCAAAATATGGATACATTCCTCCCAATTGACGAAGCGCTTCCACAGCCATTGATTCATCATCGCCAGAAGTATATTGTTGCTGTTCCTCCTGTTTGATATATATTGGATAAACACTACGGTTTTCATCCTCTTCGTCTGATCTCTCTGGTAAGATTTCAACAGCAACATGTCCTTCTTGTATATCAGTATTAACATCATTAACAGGAACTTCTGTTAAACCATCTTGCAGTACACAATCATCAACAGGTTCACATATTTCTTCATGGGATATTATATTTTCTTGAATATTATCATGCACTCCAGATAATGGAAAGGTAACATATTGTTCATTATCATGAGCTTCCATTGTGTTAAATTTTTCTTTTATGAAATGTGATATTTCTTTATATTTATTTAAATAACTTTACTCTATGAACCTAGTTTCACCTAACATTAAGTTAGGTCTTGTCAAGTTAGGTCCTGTCAGTGTAACCATTAAAAATCTTAATCAATCGTACGCATATTCTTCCAAATAAATACATTTCCATTTCATATTTTGATATTAACTTTATATTATTTTAGATTTATTTAATTATTAAAATAATTACTTTCTTTTCTATACATGTTGGATAATAATATACTTTATACAGTTAAATGCACAATAGTAGATTTCTTTCATAAGTAATAGTATTGTTAATAATCACTATCTTTTGTTAAACTAATAACAATTGTTTAAATTAATACGAATTTGTAGAGTTGAAAGTTTCACATAATATTTAATTACTCTAAAAGATTTACACATTTAGTCAAAATTCTAACATTTAACAAGGTTACTTTGATCGTAGTATATAACATATGATCTATCTGAAGTTATCTGCGTTTAAGTTCACCCTTATTAAGAAGATTTTTCGCGGGAAACATGAAAAAAAAAATAATAATATAGTTTTTTCAATTACTTTCAATTAACAAGAATAAGATTATTTTTAAATTATTCATATTTTTTTTAATTTCATACTTCTTTTTTTAATTCAAATAAATATTATTCGTACAAGTATCGAATTAAATTAAGATGCAAATGTATTACTCGATAGATAAGTTTTATATTAAACTTAAAAACAAATGTATTCGCGAATACAATAATATTAAAAATGATTAGATTGTAATTAAAATAAAATAATAATATATTAATGTTTTTAATAAAATATTTATGCTACTGGCAATATAAGTAAAATGATATCTTGAAATATGCAGAATTCTGTTTTATCTTCCGATATGCATTTATGTCAGATAGACAAGAATCGAAACTACAACCATCTAACGAAAATAGAAAAAACTTGAATACTTGAAAGGTATTAGTTAATTGTAAAAACTTTATATATATTTTTTGTTATTTAATTAAAATGATGTCTATTTAAGCAGTTATTCGTTTGATATTACTTGCGATGGAATGTATGTTAAATAATCCATATTAAATAAAATATGCAAAGATGCAATGAATGCAAAGATGCAATGAATGCATCGAGGGAAAGCTCTTTTTTAGATTGCGATTGTTATTTGGCTGGAATTAAAAAAGTATTATAAATATATAAAAGTTATTAAAAAACCAATACTAATACGTGCATTAGAATTAATTCTATTCTGAAACAAAGTAAAACAAAAATTAAATATCAACAATGTTGGATTACTTCCTAATACCTGTAAAAATACAAAAGATATTAAAAAACATTATAAAGTAATTAGTTTCTATATATTAAATGGATAAAAGGAAACAAGGAAAGGAATAAAAGAATATGGTATTAATTAGGAAGTTAAAAGAAACTAATTACAATTATAATGTTTATGGTAAGCGGTCTTTGGCTGGATTTTACTTACAATGGAATGTATAACATATTAAATATGTTAAACATTATACTGAAAGTAAAATACCATTGCCCAGGTCT